CCTATTTACGAGACTTTTTAAGACCGTACGATGTCCAGACATACAGCATCGCACATCTTCATTTAACAGTGCTCCTCATGAGATGCACAGCGAAGTCCGCATCCATTGCATAATTATCGAACTCTATAAAGTGTCTGCTTAAACGCCTAAAGGAATATATGATTTTCCGTACGCGGAGAGCATACGCCTTGTAGACATGAATCGCTAAACGCTAATGCAACGGCTGGTCAGGCTCGAAATTATTCGGGAATTGGGAAACTTTTTCAAAACCGAAAAATAGTCTTTGTTGGGATAAAAAATACAAAGACAGTGTGATCTTCTACTAAACGCCTAAAAGGAAGCATTTTTGCGCATGTTTTCTATTAAACATAATTAAATTTATAAGACAATTGAGAATGCGTGTGAAAAATACATGCTATATTAGTAGTCATTTTTACCGAGCGTGATCTATGCAGGAGGTCGAAAAAAGTACATTCAAAAGCAGACATTCTGACGAGTCCGAAATACTATAGGATTATGCCGCATGAAAATCCGATATTACAATCCCACTTAAGTAATCCTTCCTAATCGAAAACGTATTTCAGAATTTCGGCCAACATTTCGTGATATCGGTCACGCATTGTATTATATAGACGAATGATTGGTTAACCATACACTGACATTTGTCAGGTGACAAATCCCTGGAAACTATTCTCTGCCAATCAGTCTGATGTAATGTCATCAAATGAAACAGTTTGACGGTAGCAGGAGTTATGCGGAACACTTGCTATTTTTCGCAGTCAAAACTACAAAGTATTGACGGGAAGCTACGGTTTATAAGTAGAAAAGCCTACAGAGAACTCTGACAACGCTATGCACGCTACGTTGGGTTATTTTCTAAAGATTTACATAGGTGGTTTGGCGGTTTGCCCACAGAAAACGGTCATGACACCGGTAGAATAAACATTCCAGATGAGGGTGTACGCTTATATGCTTGTCTATATCCTCGGAGACATATTTTCATCGGGGGATAACGTTGACCATTACGATCGTATCATACCTTTCCGTATCAGCGTACTCTAAGGCCTACTATTTGTAAATACTGCGGTTTCCCTCAATATAAGACGGTCAGCTTCCTTTTTTGTTTAAAAATGCGTTTGTTAGCAGTTGAGGATACCATTTAAAGTTTCTGG